GGTGATGCATGCTGTAGTTTTGTTGAAGTTATATTTTGGAATAGAGTTTGATTTAAGAAATTGTAGGATATTATATGCCATATGGATTATTTTTCATGAAAGCCATTATTTACATTATTCCGACTATTGTCCTCATCTTTGTCGCCATATTTATCACAACGTTTCGGCTGTTGTACGCTCCGGCCTCTTGAGGTAGTTGGAATTTCGAACTGAACCCTTTATTTCTGCGTGGCATAAGGTCAGAGATCGGAGGTTGCTAGGTCACAAAAATGTCCTGAGCCGACCAAGCATGGAAATAAATACAATATGGAAACCAGTAATAAGGAGGGCCAGAGAAAAGCAATGATAACAAAAAAAAGTTGCAATATGAGCTCTGGTAAAAAAAAAAATGCAATGATAACAGCAAAAATTGCAATATGAGCACTGGTAAAAATGACTGCTGAAGACATTAGGTTTATAATACCTAGAAATTCATGCCCAAGGACACATGGCACAGTGGATAAAGCCGTTGGTTAGATCCAGTGACAGGACCCAAAGAGTGTGAGTTCAATACCCGGTTAAGTCAGTGGAGAACTTTCAGAGGGAAAATTAGCAGGAGATAACTGATATCCATCAAACATGGCACGTGGAACTAGAACAGTCTACCCCAGTGAGCGAAATAAAGTGTTCAGTTCGACATTCCAAACACCTGAAGAAGGCCGGAGCGTACAACGGCCGAAATGTTGTGATAAATATGGCGACAAAGATGAGGACAATAGTCTAAATAATGTACGTAAAATCTCATGTCAGAAATATAGACAGACTCTGTCATGAGAAAGTTGTTTTTTTTTTTTTTTTAGCGGCATGTCAACACCTCTATGGGTTATTTAATACCATAATCTAAATATTTTGAACGCAATTGTATGCCTTCAAGTATAGATAAAACGTATTGTGGGTAATTTTACTATAAATAGGTATTGTAGGTAATTTTTTTTAATAGAAATATGTATTTATGGTATTTGTACCATAAATATGTATTTTTATACTTTCATAGTGTTTTTCTTTAGTTTGAGTGATCACTATTTACCCATAGGTAGGGACCCTTAGAGATGCCCCCACCCCGGATGCTACTACCCGATGACTAGAAATAAGTTTACCTTAAGCAATGTAAATGTCTCTAAAATATATCCGGTGTAAAAAATATTCAAAATAGGTGCAGCAGAGTTAGAAGGTGGCTCTGTCCGAGGGAGGGAAAAAATTTCATTACCCTCGGGGACACAAAAAGTCATAATCCGGTCCTGAACTTAATGCTATCTTCCAGATACAAATAGAAAGGTTTAACGCCGACCCACAACACCATTGAGAAACCCGTAGCAGGCCACATCACAGCTGCACTCTTTTTGTCAGGTCATTAGATCAAGGCGCTTATAGCAAAGCGTAATGAAATGAAGAAGTCGTACTTTCTCCAGTCCGCCCACAGGTCTTGAAAATGTTGATAGTTGTTAAAATATTCAAAAGCACAAACGATTTGCCTTTGAGAGCGTGATGTTTGAATCAATCTGTGCGTTCATTTTTCGTATCAATCAAATGTATTGTATAGAGATAATATTTCAAGGAGGTAGGCTTGTTGAATTAGCGTTTGCGTAATCTAATTAGCATTTTGTATCATTTAAATTGAATTTGAAAAGATTGAGTCTTTTTTAAATGTTTCCGAGTTTGTCGGTACAAAATTCTAAATATTTTCATCAATTCTCAAATTATCCTTCTTCACAATTTCTGGTGTTGACAGTGACAACAACGATTAAACTAACTTTATCAGCAGCAATCGGACTTTTCGTTACACTTGTTTTCTGTTTCAAAATATTTTTAAATGTTCTTAAAAGAAGAAAAAAAAACACATTAGGCGACTAACGTTAGAACAGAATTAATGTCAATTTAATGGCTTTCATATCAAGTTTTTATTTATTTGCATTTTTACTTATTTGTAATTTTATTTTAGCTATCGTCTCTTGTTTCAAATGACACCTACTTTTCTTTCAACGTCTCCCCATTCACCATTTGTTAATCGTATATTTTTTCTCTTTCTCTATAACTCTCTCTCCACCCTCCTCTCTACTCATGCCTCTCTACAGCTCCCTCTCTATTCGTAACCCTCTTCACCCCGTCTCTATTTGTATCGCTCTTTACCTTCCTCTCTACACGTACCTCTCTTCATCTCCATATTTGCACCTCTCTTTACCTTCTTCTTTACTCGCACCTCTCTTCATCCTCTTCGCTATTTGTACCTCTCTTTATCCTCCTCTCTACTCGCTCTTCTCGTTATTCTCCTCTATTTTGCATCACTCTGTATCCTCTTCACTACTCATACCTCTCTACGTATTCGTCTATACACGTGCCTCACTATTCATACCTCTCTTTGTCCCCTCTCTATTTGTACCTCTCTTTATACTCCTCTCTACTCGTATCTCTCTGCATCCCCTTCTCTACTCATATCTATCTACATCTTCCTCTCTACTCATACCTCTCTTCACCCCTCTCTATTTGTACCTCTATCCTCCTATCCACTCGTACCTCCCTTTATCCTCCTTTCTACATTTCTGCTCGTAACTCTCTTCATCCCCTCTCTATTTGTACCTCTCTTTATACTCCTTTTTGCTCGTAACTCTATCCTCATCGCACCTCACTTTATCCTCCTTCTCTATATGTACCTCTTTTTTTCCTCATTTTTCCTCCTACCTCTCTTTACCCATCATATTTGTACATCTCTTTATCCTCCTGTCTACTCGTACCTCTCTTTATCCTCCTCTGTATTTGTACATCTCTTTATCCTCCTCTCTACTCGTACCTCTCTTCATCATCCTCTGTATTTGTACCTCTCTTTATCCTCCTCTCTACTCATACCTCTCTTTATTCTCCTCTCTACTCGTACCTCTCTTCATCCTCCTCTGTATTTGTACCTCTCTTTATCCTCCTCTCTACTCGTACCTCTCTTCATCCTCCTCTGCATTTGTACCTCTCTTCATCCTCTTCTCGTACCTCTCTTCATCCTCCTCTGTATTTGTACCTCTCTTTATCCGCCTCTCTACTCGTATCTCTCTTTATCCTCCTCTCTACTCGTACCTCTCTTCATCCTCCTCTGTATTTGTACCTCTCTTTATCCGCCTCTCTACTCGCACCTCTCTTTATCCTCCTCTCTACTCGTAACTCTCTTCATTCTTCTCCCTATTTTTGCCTCTTTTTATCCTCCTCTGTATTTGTACTTCTCTTTGCCCCCCTCTCTATTTATACCTCTGTTTATCCTTCTCTTTATTATTAATTCTCTTTATCCTCATCTCTACTCGTACCTCTCTTTATCCACCTCTGTTTTTGCCTCTTGTTATCTTTCTCTCTACCTTTACCTCCCTTCATCGTTCCTCTCTATTTGTACGTTTTATCCTCCTCTCTACTTGTACTTCTCTTTGCCCCCCTCTCTATTTATACCTCTGTTTATCCTTCTCTTTATTATTAATTCTATTTATCCTCCTCTCTCTACTCTTGCTGTTTCTGCTTTCTTTCTTTTAGCTTATTTTTCGCTTTTACCCCTTTTTTTTACTACCTAGTTCTTTCCATCTGAAAATCGAAAACGTTTTACTACCCCCCCCCGCTCAACAAACAAAAAAACAAACAAATAAAAATTGCCTTTTTTTTTTTCTCACAAACTACAGAAATGCTAAACCCCATAGAAGTCATTTTGAACAGCTATTCTCAGCACCTTTTTGTCGTCGACGAGGCCTCCCCCCAGTCCCTTTGTAAGCTTCTATCCAAACCCTCGTTAATAAACTAGAAGATTTATGAACCTGTCGGAATTGAAAGTGAAGGAGTCGGCCATAAAATGAAACAAGTAATTTGATGCCGAACATTACCGCTCCCCCATCTTCTGCTCTAGAAATGTTCGAGTTACAGTGATTGTCTCCGACCATTGCATTTGCCAGTCTCGAAGCTTGGTGACGCACAAACGTTCCCTGTACAAACTAAATAAATTACAACAACAATAATTAGATCTTTTTATCAACAGGGTGGGCAAAATGTAGGATTTGCTAACTCCTTAAAATGAAAATGGGGGGTGGGTGGAGAAGGTGGTGGTATTTCCAAACGAAGTCGTCGCAGAAATTGAGGACAAGTTCCCAATTATAGAGTTGACGGTTTCCAACTTGGGATCTACGGAACCACAAAGCTGATTTAAACAGGATTGCCATATCTTTAAAAATGAAAATATGGAACTGTTGTCCGCTTGTAGTTCGCAAAATGTAGTCCGCCCCCCACCCCCGTGGATAAGTTCCTAACCTTGGGTTCAGCAGACTGCCTTAGGAACAGGTTCCCGATCAGGGATCTGCGGACTCGCAAAGCTGAATTAAAACAGTCAGTCAGTTACGCGCCATGCGTGATACGAGCTTAGGCGATCATGTATCTTTCGATACATGACTGACGAGGCAGATTTTTTTCCCGCAGTAAGTTGCCATTTCTTTCTGCGGTAGACCAGTTGCCATCCAAGACTATAGAACCCGGTCTGTCCTGCTATTTACCCATAGCTGGTCGGGGTGAAGAAGAAGAGGATTTAGACTTTTCCCAAGAGTATTACCACATAAGTGAATGTAAGGAATTTGACTGGAATTCGAACTCGGCTCTCCGATTCCTCAATCCGAACCGCTACTGGTATTTTTGAGTCATAGGAATTGCGACAGGAAAAGAACAAGGGGGAAGAGTTATTGATTCGTTTTTACGACTTATCAACCCATTGCAGGTTATCTAAAGCCATAATATATTTTTAGATTGGAACAATTTTGGCGGGAGAAAATAATAATTTATTGATACAAGTCTTACTAATTAACACATAGGTAGGGGGAGAAGTGGTGGATTCGTATCTTTCCAAAGTATATTTGCGTGTAAGTGAATATAACGAACCCAACTGGAATTGGAACTCGGCTCTCCGATTAAATATTCCGACCCATTATCCATTGCATCATCTGCACATCCAAGCTTATAGTACTTGATATTCTCAAGCGGTCACCCATCTAGCTACTGACCAGGCTCGACGTTGCTTAACTTCCTTTATCGTACGGTAACCGGTGTTTAAACGCGATGCAGCTGTAAACTCTGTTTCTCCGGTTCAGACATTTACAACTTGGATCAGTCAGACCACATACACTCAATTGATTCATTGCCTCCATATTCCATAAGTGAGGAGGAAGTTCCATCGAGACAGCTTCTCTCCCAGAACTGTTGCTATATGGAACAGTCTTCCGAGAGGAAGTTTTCCCGATCGCCGTATTATTAACCTCTTCATGTCTAGAGCTATTATCCCACCTACACATCCCCATCATAATGCTCCATCATTTAGTAACACTCTATCTTGAGTGACCCTTGAGGCTTCTATTAGGTGAACAATAGAAAATAGATATTTACTAGGTGCTTATCACGGTGAGAGGTTTAGGAAACACCTTTTGAAGACCAAATCGATTAATAGAATTCGATCCTTCCTGAGCGTCTTTCCGCTGTGATCCTGTACAAAATTTGAATAAACTTGGGCAAATAGATATTTACTCGTAAATACTACTAATACTACTAATAAATAAAAATTAATAATATAAGTAATTACAGTGAGCCCCCGCCTATTCGCGTTGCAGCATTCGCGGCTTCACATATTCGCGGATTTTTCTTTAGAACATATGTACTTGCTATTCGCGGAAAGCCCGAATATTTCTGAAGAACAAATGTACAATTTATTGAACTCCCTCGATTCGCGTATTTTTTCGGTAGAACATATTTAAATTCTTCTTGTATTATTTACCTGTCGTTCAGTTCATTTTTATGGTAAAAATTGGCAGAATTGTACATCTTCATCGTAAAAAAACAAACGCAAAAACATGCGTAGTGCTTGGGCTTTGTTCTTTGTTAGGGGCTGCGGCTGAGGTCTTAAAAGTGACTTATGTTAAGTCTGGGAGCATCATCACAATTCTGTTTTTAGAAAATGTTTTAAACTTTATATTTTATGCCTTGTTACACATATTTTATACAGTATTTTCAATGGCTGTATCGATTTATGCTAATTAAAGACGATTATTGTACGTATGAAAGAAAATTTACACTAAGTGTATAGTTACCAATACTATTTTTCAAAAATGTTTTTAAAGGGATTTGAAATGTTTCTAAAGTGTTTAGTATGAAAGTTTAAGGGCATATAGGGTTTTAACAATCAACATAGGTACTTATAAGCACTTTTAGTGGGGTTAAAAGTATTCGCGGGTTCTATTAGCGGCCTGTTCTGGTCACTAACCCTCGCGAATACGGGGTCTCACTGTATTATATAAAACTCACTGTTACCCCTTCTGTTCTGTCTGTCCTTAACCCCACTTTTGCAAGAACGAAAAAATTAATGACTATGAATACAAAGTAAAAAAAGAAAATGTTTAAATCAATGGATGATATCAAACTCTTTGCCAAAGACTATAATGAAACTGTAAAGTGTTTCAATGATAATATCGGTAAGGGTTTCGAATCGTTCAAGAGAGGAAGAATTACAGAAAAAACACTCAATAGATTTTTATTTTGTCACAAAGATTAGGGAACTGGAACAAGAAGCCAATAAATATCTAGGATAGAGCGAAGGAGATGGAATACATCATACCCAAATGAAGGAGAAATTAAGAAAAGAATATGACCGGCGTATGCATCTGGTGTTAAATACCGAGTTGAATTCACAAAACAGAATATCAGCCATAAACACTTTGGCTGTCTCTGTGGTAGCAATACAGTTTCAACATCCTTAATTGGACCATAGCTAATTAAGCAAATGGATATCAAAAAGAGAAAGCTTCTCACTTACCACTATAGCATGCATCAACCTAAGGCCGATATTGATCGTCTGGATGTGTCAAGATCCGAAGGAGGCAGACGATTAGTTCAAATAAAACTGTTTTATAAAACTACAACAGTCGATCTTCAACGATTTCATCTAGAAACTGCAGAAGACTGGGTGATGATCTTCATCAGAGAACATGAAAGAAATAAGAAACGTTATTCGTCTCTCTGATAGGTGACGCGATCTCTTAATAATAATAAAAAAAAAAGTTTTCCCAGATGACAATGAGATGAAAGGTCTCCTCAGTACTGTAAAATGTTTCAATGATAACATCGGTATGAATTTTGGATTAGCTAAATTTGCAAATGTAGTATTTAAGAGAAAACGAAAATTACCGAAAAACACTCAATAGATTCCGATTTTGTCACAAAGATTAGGGAACGGGAACAAGAAGAACCCTATAAATACTTAGGAGTCAGCGAAGGCGATAGAACAGTCAGTCAGTTATGTGCCATGCGTGATATACGCTTAGGCGATCATGTATCTTTCGATACATGACTGACGAGGCAGATTTTATTCCCACAGTAGGTTGCCATTTCTTTCTGCGGTAGACCAGTTGCAATCCAAGGCTATAGAACCCGGTCTAGTCAGTTATGTGCCATGCGTGATATACGCTTAGGCGATCATGTATAAATAGCTTAGAGTCAGCGAAGGAGATGGAATAGAGCATACTCAAATGAGGAAGAATGTAAGGAAGGAATACTACAGGGGTGTGTGTCTGTTGTTAAATACCGAGTTGAATTCACAAAACAGAATATCAGCCATAAACACTGGTTGTCCCTGTGGTGCAATACAGTCTCAGCATCCTTAATTGGACCATAGCTGACATTACTGGACCATAGCGAATGATTGTCAAAACGAGAAAGCTCCTCACTTTCCACCGCATTTGTCATCCTAAGGCTGATGTTGATCGTCTGTATGTGTCTAGATCCGAAGAAGGAAGAGGATTAGTTCAACTAGAACCGTCTTACAATATCGCAACAATCGGATACCTGGAAACTACAGATCTGTATCAAAGAACATGAAAGAAATAAAAAAAAAACTTTATTAAGTAATAAAGTAAGGCAACAAGTTCAAAAGAGAATTTCAAGCAGGTGAACAAATGCAATTAAACCATGATAGGTCTTGCAGCGACAAGAAACCTAAAAAAGAAAGCAAAAGCAAGTGCAATGTATCAAATGCAGAAACGATGGCAAGATAAGCCTTTTCGTGGTCAATACTCTGCTCAAACCAAACAAGCTGATGTAGACAATCCCCGTACCCAACAGTGGCTACGTAGTGCAGGGTTAAAAGCTGAAACTGAAGGTTTTATTCTTGCTGCACAGGACCAAGGCTTGCTAACTAGAAATTACCAAGCACACATACTGAAAAACTGTGTCAACCCAAAATGCAGATTCTGTGATAAATATCCAGAAACAATTGATCATCTTGTATCAGGTTTCACGGTGTTAGCATCCACTGAATATAAAACTCGGCATGACAGAATGGGACAATGATGGTATTGGAAAAATCTGCAACTTTTACGGGAAGGAAACTGCAAAAAACTGGTATGCGCACCACCCCAGGGGCCCGGTTACAGAGATAGGACCTGTAACAACTTTATGGGACTTTACAATACACACAGACAACGATCAAAGCTAATCGCCCAGACATCGTGATCAAAGTCTACAGAAACAGAATGTGTTTTCTTATTGACACGACAATTCCAACAGACTATAATGTATATTGGAAGATCTTCAAAAACTATCAAAATACAAGGATTCTGAAGTGGAAAACTCAAAAATATGGCACATGAGGACACCAATAATTTCAGTTGTAGTTGGAGCCCTCGGTTTGACGGAAAAAGGTTCTGATAGAATCATTGAAGGGATTCCTGGAAGCCCATGCCTTAAAGAAATACAATAAAATGTTCTTACAAGTACAGCTCCCAACTTACGAAGGGCTTTATCTATGTAAAATGTGTGTGATCATAGGTTGACTTTTTTTTTTTTATTAAAAATTGATCAATGGAAAGTGTTATGATGCTATTTTTGACCTTAGGTCTCTGGTTGGGACCCGGAAGGAAATTAGGATACAAGAGAAATCCAAGTAATTATAATAATAATAATAATAATAATAGACCCGGTTACGGAGATAGGACCTGTTACAATTCTATGTGACTACACAATACACACTGACAGAACAATCAAGGCCAACCTGCCAGATATTGTTATTAAAGACCACAAACAAAAACGATGCCTCCTTATTGATATGACAGTCCCTGCTGACTGCAATGTATCTTTGAAGATATTCAAAAAGTTGTCAAAGTACAAGGACCTTGGAATAGAAATCTCGAAAATGTGGCATATGGGAACATCAACAATCCCTGTTGTAGTTGGAGCCCTAGGACTGGTTGGAAAAGATTGCAGTAGACTAATTGAAGGGATTCCTGGAAGTCCATGCCTCAAAGAGATACAAAAAAAATTGTTCTGACAAGTACAGCCCACACCTTACGAAGGGCTTTATCTATGTTATATAATTTTTTTTTTTTTTTTTTTGTCAGTGGAAAGTGTCATGACGCCATTTCTAACTTTAGGTCCCTGGGCGGGACCCGGAAAGAAATGTGTAAACGCCAGAAATCAAAGAAAATAAAAATAATAATAATAATAAAATGGATGTATCTTTGGAGGGCACAATCGTAACAGTATAAGAAGCAGAAATAAAACTGCAGGGACTTCTAGAGAAGATAGAAAAGAAAGCTAGAAGAAAAGAATAACTATCGATTGTAAAAAGACAGAATGTATGGTCCTTATTGAGTGGGACAGATCAAGATGCAAGCTCCGAATTGGAGGCTGGAAAATCAAGCAAGTAGAAAAATTTAATTATTTGTAAAATTGTTATAACAAACTATGGCAAATGTGATACACAAATCCGAAGGTGCATTGGAATAACAGAAGATGCCTTACAAAAACTAAACAATGTATTAAGAACCAGGAAAATTTAGTATAGAAAGAAAGAAAAAAAGTGTGAACTCTTATGTAATATCCATCTTCCTATATGATAGAGAATGCTGGGCAAATTTCCTCACAAATAAAGAGTAGTCTTGGGGCAACAAAGACGTGGTTCTATAGAAAAAAAGACTACTGAAGTGCTATAAGGCGGTACATGCAGCACAATCTCCTCAGAGATGAATGCATAACCTGAAGCAACAAAGATGTGGTTTTCATAAGAAAAGATGC